TAGACCCAATGAAAAAATCTTTCAAAATAAAAGCTATGCTAACGCACTAAAGCAACAGAAAAATTCAGATATGCATAACACCATCACTGAGGCAAAAAATATCTTTAACAAACTAAATGATATGGTCAGTGTTCTAAATGGTTTAAACGCAATTCCACTACTAAGTAAAGCAGTTAAAATGATAGAACAAGAAGAAATTCCAAAACAATATAATGAACAGTAAACCAATCAGAATTATGTTATGGAATTCGGCAAATATCAACACCAAATTTCATGAATTCAGCAACTTTATTCTAGAGCACGATATTGATATCGCCTTAACTACTGAAACGCATGCAACAAGCTAAACCTAGCCAGTTTTAATACCTATAGAACGGATAGGACCAACTGCAGAGGTGGTGATATAGCCATATTCAGTAAAAGAAGTCTCAACACTACCCTATACAGTAATAATAAATGTGATGGATTCGAAGAAACCTCTATACTACTACATAAAAATAGTAAAGTTCATATTAAAATCCCAGCTATGTATAATAAACCTCATCACATCCTTACTAAAGATATGATAAAAAAACCTATTACCCAATGGAATAAATTGCATTATAAGAGGCGATTTCAATGCCAAAAACACCATATGGGGATGTCGAGTAAATAACAAACATGGCAAAGAGCTTCATAAAAACATACTGAGCCTCAATCTAATGGCGATATCCCCTATGGAACCAACTTATTTTCCATATACCCCCCATAAACAGCCTGATCTGTTAGACTTCGTCATTACTAATAATAATACTGCAATGAGTTGCCACACTGTAACAGAGCTAAGTAGTGACCATGTTCCGGTTATTGTGACTCTCGGTGTTACTATCCAAGATACACCCATCACTACGAAAAAGACTAACTGGGAACTTTATTCCAATATCCTCACTTTAAATAATAATAATACAACGCTAAGCACTCTAGATGATATAGAAACTGCTATAAACAATCTCACAAATGATATACAACAAGCATATAATGAAGCTACTAAAATCAATATCAACAAACATAACTATATGGCCCTGCCACAGGATATGAGAGAGCTCATTGGTAATAAAAACTATACCAGAAAAAAGTGGCAAAACAATTGAAATCCATGAGATAAAACAGAACTGAATAGGCTCATGAAAGAAATCAAGAAAAAATGTCAACAAATTAGAAACGAGAGATGGAACGATAAAGTCTCAAGCTTATGTACCGAAGACCAATCAGTTTGGAAAATGACCAAGAGCCTAAAAACAGCCTAAACAATAAATAAGCCTTGTACATATATCAATCTCATCATCTTTAAATTTTCTTTTTATTGACTCAGAGGACTCCCCCCGTATTCCTTTCCCCCTAGCCTAAAGCCAAAAGTCTTAGTTGCCCAAGGGCAAACATTATTAGATGAAGAAGTGAGATGCCCGCTTCGCGGGCAAGTACTTTTGACTATTCTATATCTAGTCTAGTCTAGTATTTCGTTCTGTTGCACTGATGAAGGTTGCCCTATTAGCATCCGAAACAACTCTCAGTATTTTAGCACAAAGAACGCCCACTTGTGTATTTAATCAGTCTTGCAGTTTCTAATTTTAAACATTTAATTTTATGCAAAGATATTACAAGGCTAACTAAAAAAAAATTAGTTCCTAGAAAAATGATGTTTATATAACAAATGCTGTCAATGGATGGATGATCGTGTAAAGCTAAGGTTGGTGGCGCTAGTGGTAAAATTGCTCTTTCCAGACTTCCGGGTTACTGCTTCCGATATATTTTTACGCCGCAGATTGAGAAAACGCGCCATCATATTATTGCATCATATCTTTTGCAGTATTTCACATGTACCGAGTTCTTTCTTTCAGCCTTTAAACTTCAGCATTATCATATTAATATTATAATCATTAGAATATTTTCTAATTAGGCTAACTTAAAAAGATATTTTTAAAGATATTTTTGGCGACATTTTATTCAAATGTAGCCAAATAAGGGATAAAATACAAAACATGGCAAACCTTAAGAATTATTCACAATGAGATATTAACTTTCCAAAATTTTTTTTGGCCTTACGACCTCTGAGAATCAATACATTTCTGAAAGCTCTTATGAATGGTACAATTATGTTTAGATTTGAACCCAAATTACAATAACAAAACTGCATAGAATATTAGGATTGTTCAGACATCGCCTCGTAGTCATAACATAAGCGGAGGGATACACCGGAAATTTTCTAAATTTCTTCCGGTTTAAGGACGCTTGTTATTGTTTACATTAGACCACCCATCCATATGTCTGTCTAAATATTTTGTCATACTTCATGGGTCAAACAGCTGTGCATGTGGCCCTTCACTCAAAAAGGTTGTACCCCCTATATTTAGTGTTTTGCTTTACTATGGGTACACATTCCCAAGTGCATAATTACAAAATTTTCATACAGGTGCATAGTTTCAAAATTTTTATAGAGGAGGTGAAAGATTAGCCAAAATTATAAATGCCTATCTAATATTTCTGCAGTCCTTTCCCCACTTTTATATAAAAGAATAAGAAAATGGAATAGTTTGTCAATGAATTAAAATTTTAAATTTATAATGAGATAATCTTTTTGAAATTCCAAACATAAGGTCTTAAAACTTTTAAGTAGCCAAAAATTTTAAAATAACACTGAGAAACACTTGAAAAAGTCAAAATTTCAAAGTTAGTGTAGGATATTTAAAAATAAAAAATTATATTTTCCTTCTTATTCAGGAACCAAAAACAAAAAGTTTGTGAATAGGAATTTTAAAATTCAAATATTTGTAGAAAATGAGACTTCTTAATGTATACTGATGCATCCTTAGTTATAAATGTCTTACCTGACATATTAATTTTGATAAATGGAAATACAGTAGAGTCTCGAAAGTTCGAGTCTCAGAAGTCCAAGGTTCCACTTAATTCGAGGTGCCAAATTTCCCCCCTAGCAACCAAAAGCGTTCTTCCCTTTTCCTCTCGCAACCGAAAAAATGCAGGTGTTATTTTTCGTTTCTTCCTGGAAAGAATTTCAGTAACCCACCACCTTTTGTTCTCTTTGTTTTGGAAGGTGGCTAGGTAGGGGTTGGTTTGAAAGAAATTTTCAAACCAGATCTACAAGAGTTTTATTCTTCCAAGTTCAATTGTACTAGTAGCTTAGATGCTAGTTAGGGACTCAATACACGTGCTTGATCCTTATCATTTTGGAAACTTATTGCTGTTGAAAGTGTTGCGTTAAGGTGCCTGCTGCGAAAATGAGTGGAAAAAATAAGAGAAAATTTGTATCTATGATAACTAAATTGAACGCTATAAAAAGATTAGATGCAGGTGAAACAATAAAAATTGTTGCTACCGATTTGGGTGTTGGAGAGGTAACAGTTGGTGACTGGCACCGCAATCGAATAAAAATTGAGCAGTTTTGTTCACAGAAGTGCAATGAGACTCCAGGAGAAAAAAAAATCTATGAGAACATCAGACTATGAAAAAATTAGCAAGGCTTTATTTCTTTGGTTTACTCAACAGCGTAGCAAAGGTACTCCTATAAGTGGCCATATTCTTCAGGAAAAAGCTGTGTTTTTCAGAAATCAGTTCAAAGAAGGAGAAGAAGATTTCACAGCAAGCGTTGGTTGGTTAGACCATTGGAAAAAACAATATGGTGTACGTCAACTAAATATTTGCGGTGAAATACTCTCGGCAGATACGTCAGCTGTGCAGGCATTTCAAAAACGGATTGAAGACATTATATTGACGGAAAAGCTCACACCTGACCAGTTATATAACTGTGACGAAACAGGTTTGAACTTTAAGATGTTGCCCTCAAAATCCCTTGCTTCAAAAGAGGAAAATTCAGCTCCAGGTCACAAAAAACGGAAGGAACGATTAACCATTTTAGCATGCGCCAATGCATCTGGAAATCATAAAATGAAACTGACTGTGATTGGGAAATCTGCCAAACCTAGAGCCTTAAAAAACATCACTAAAGAAGCCTTACCAGTACATTACCCAAATCAGAAAAGTGCATGGATGAATCGAGAAATTTTCAAACAATGGTTTTCAGAACATTTTGTTCCAGAAACACGGAAGGCATTGAGAAAAAAAAATTTGCCTTGCAAAGCAATTTTGTTTTTAGATAACGCTCCATCTCATCCGGACGATGATGAGCTACGTTGTGGTGAAATCCGTGCTATATTTTTTCCTGCCAATGTTACAAGTTTGATTCAGCCAATGGATCAGGGCGTATTGGAAAATTTAAAGAAAAAATATCGACACCGTTTGTTACAACATTTAGTTCAGTCTGATGATGAAAGTGTTGCGGATGTCTTGAGGAATGTAAGTCTGAGAAATGTTGTCTACTGGATAGCAGATTCTTGGGAAGAACAGACAGTAATTAAATTGTGGACTAAGTTTCTACATGAATTGGTTACGCCTATTGAGAAAATTAATGATGATCATAGTGAAACAATTGTTTTGAAAGATTTGGTGAAGGAATTACCAGGCTGCGAAAATTCTAGTGCAGTTGATCTAAATGAATGGCAAAATAGTGACGACAAGCTGGAAATAACAGACTCAAGTATTATAGAAATGATGGAAGATTAGGAAGAATATGAAACAGAAGAAAATGACTCTCCGTTATCAGAAAAACAATACCTCATAGTGAAGGTTCTGCAGCCTTAGAACTAGCCTTAAAATATGTAGAACAGCAAACTGAAGCCACCCCTGCAGATGTTTTGCTTTTGAAGCGTTGGCTGACTATCACATAAACAAAGAGAAGTAATACACTGAAGCAACAAAAAATTTTAAATAATCTTTTACGTCATTATACTAAAGAATAAAGGATTTTAAGGTAATATGTTAATTTTATTTAATTTCATTTGTAGTTGTTAAAAATTTTCTACTTTTTCGGAAAATCCGAGTTTTCAGTAATCCGAGGTAGTGTCAGCCCCAATTACCTCGGATTTTCGAGACTCTACTGTAATACGAACCTGTTCAGATAAATTTTCTTGGTGTTTTATTTCTTTGAAGTTGGCATCTTTGTTTGCAGACAGCAAAGAGAGCAAAATCTGTTTCCAGAGTTGAGGAAAAACAGCACCATATTGTGTCCTGTACTTTAAAGAAGATGCTGCTTGAACACAACTTATTCTAACTTTGAAATTTGGAGATTTATTAAGGACAGAGATTAAAGCATGCAGTATGGTTTCCTAAAATATGAAAAGTATTTTTCTATATACACAATGTACCTTTCTACCTTTGCAAAAAGCAACAGATTTCTTTGTAAGTAAATCAAATAAAAGAAAATGCTAAAAACTAAAGTGTACAAGAATAAAATTTTTTAATAAGTATATCAGCATGATTTATGTTAAAACACAAAATTTCAATAGAATTGGTTAAGATATACCAACTTCAAAAAGTTTTTCTAGCAAAAAAAATTTGTTGTTCACCCATGGGGGTCTTGATTTGCACATTTTTGCTGAAAATGGTTTGAGCAACATTTACATAAGATACCAAAGTTCCTTTATGGTCAAAAATCCCTTATAAATTTGAAAAAATAATAAAATTGAAGAAAAGAATGATTTTTTTTTAAAACAGTTATTTTTTTTCTTCAGTTCAGTATTATTTTTCTAACCTCTTTCAAACACAAATAATTTCTAAAGATAAAAAATAGTCAATGGAATTTCCAGGTATTATGGATAACTTACATCATTACTTTTTTACAGAGTCATTTCCAAGAAAATTTAGTTTCTGGGGAGGGGGAAGGAAAAGATGAATAGAATTAGCTTTTTAGAATAGAATTAGCTTTATGAATAGAATTAGCTGAATTGTTGTTGTACTTGCTAACTGACATCTTTCAAGAATGTTTCTAAGAATAATTATTGTTTTGAAGAATAAAAAGGGAAGGTAGATTATACTGTAGCTTATTGCAACAGTAACATAAGAATTTTGAAATGAAAAAATATTGAAACCATAAAGTAAGGCTGAGCATTCGTTATAAATATATTAATACTTAAAATAAATATTGAATCTAATAAATCACTATGTATGACTACATATAATGAATATACCCAATAAATCAGTAGAGAGGAAAATGGAACTCTTTAGGGTGGTAAATACAAAAAAGAAAAAAAAAAGAAAAAGAAAATCGGACTTCACTAGGGGTTCAAAAAATTTTGATTAATTTTTTTTTCCTCCTGTATTTTTTATGACACTGGATGTAATTCTTTTTTATTAATTTTTGATAAGGATTGAAAAATGTACATCTCGAATAGGTATTAATGAATACTCAGAAAATTATTAAGGCATCGAATTCAGTCCTTAAAATACAATAAATGGTTACTTATTTTCTGCCGATGACATTAAATTTTTAATAACATTTATTTTCATTATTAACATTTTATTTTCACGAATAATTGTAATAAATGAATATCATACCTGGAAGAATTAAACAGAAAAATAATTCTGTGAAATTAAAAAGGTCTCAGTTTGCAGTGTTGAAAGAAGAGTGTGTACGCACTCGAAAAATACATATTTTGAAAAAATTAAAATTTTAAGTCATATTTCAACAAGGTGGTGTTCAGTTACTAGGTTTAAAATTTTATTCAAATCACATAACTCCCCATTTTAGCTGCTTTGCAAACCCCTGTGTGTGTTTGAATAATAATAATTATTTCAAATTTACTGAAATGTCAATTAGAATGTCATGTAAATAATGTCAATTAAATTTAATGTCATCCAATTACTTATTATTTGGAAATTGTTGAATCTTTGTTGACTTCTTTGAAGGATATTGTTGAGGATAAGCATTAGGTTTCCCTTGATTTTATTTTAGAGCAGTTAAATTTTTAATGTGTAAGCCTGAGAGGTTTAGGTATTCTCCTAATACTCTAATCCTCTCTTGCTTGTTATTTTACATTTCTCCCCAAGCGTACTAATTCTTGCGTCAGTCTGGTACTTTAACCTTACCTGGTCCAAGTACTTTACTCAAAATTAGTGCTAAGTTGCACACGACACCACAATATGAGCAATGTGATTCTATGTTTTTAATATATGCAAAAAAAAATGATTTCATCTCTGCAAGAAGAGCAACGATATGTTTCTCTGATGCTTGATGAAATTCACATTCAACCCTAATTTGATTACAAAGGTGGGAATATGGTGGGTATGTCATACTAAAGTAAAGGTCTAGCAAATAGTGCTCATACCTTTATGATTCAAAGTAAACTTTGTTCATTTAAAATTGTTGCTCATATTGTGCCTGTCGTTACTATAACTGCAAAAAATTTGCATGCTCTGATTAATAGAGTTATTATTGGTCTAGAACATATTGGTTACAGAATTTTTGCTGTAACGACTGATAATAACGCTATTAATCGTAGAGCTATGTCCCTTTTCTGCAGTCCTCCAAAACTGAGTTATGTTTATCCTCACCCTTTTGATAATCCACGCCCTCTTTTTTATGTAATTGATTCAGTACATGAGGTTAAGTGCCTTCGTAATAACTGGATCAATAAAAAAAATGGGCAATATATGTATTACCTCCACTTTGATTCTGATACCGAAAAGGTACAAACTGCTAGCTTTGGCTCTATTCGTAAACTATATGAGTTAGAATCAAACAATCTATTAAAATATGGATATGGTTTGACAAGAAAAGCTTTGTGGCCATCCAACCTTGAAAGCCAGAATGTAAAGTTAGCATTGAAAATTTTCAATGCTAATACTGCTATTGCATTGCGAGAACTTGGTTCAAAGCACAATTTACTTGACTGTAAAGAAACTAGTCAATACATTGATATTATATCTACTTGATGGGACATTGTTAATGTAAAAACCCTTTTCAAAGGTAAAACTATGTGTGAGCCTCTTACTTGTGATGAAAAATATATTTTCTTGCAAAAGTTTCTAGATTGGCTAGAATGATGGGGTAAATTAGACTCATACAGTGGTAGACTAACAAAGGAAACTCTTATTGCTTTGTTAATTACTACTGAAGCTATAATCAATCTGACACAGTAGTGCATTACTGAGTTAAAAATGTCATATGTGTTGCCCGGGAAAATCCAGACTGACAAGTTGGAGTCTAGGTTTGGGCAGTATCGCAGGCTCTCAGTATCACATTTCCGTACGACAAATGTTTGAGACAGAAAATAAGCTGCGCTTATCCAAACAACTTAGATTATCTTCTCATCATAAAGGTGATATAAGTATCACCTTTTTTGATGATAAAGAAGTCAGTTCATCTGAAAAAGAACCAATTGATGACTATATTTTTTAAACGTCAATGTCAATGATATTTTTAAAGTGGAAGCATCAATGCCTGTAATAGCATATTTAGCGGGCTATTGTGCTCAAGCAGCACTAAAGCATACTACTTGTACTATGTGCAGGGATCTTTTGGTTCGAGATAAAGAAATGGATTGTGTAACTAAATTCAACCTCATCAAAATTTGTGATCGAGGTGGGTTACTATATCCAACAGAGTTTGTGATAAATGCAGAGCTTCATTCTTACATTGTTGTATAAAAATTGGTTAATACTAATTATGAAGAAAATTTTTTAAAATGTTCTAATCAATGTAATATTTCTCTTAATGTTATTCTTAATGTATTGCAAAATAATGATATGTTGTCTACTACAGGTATGTGTAGTGATGGTCACAACATCGAAAAATTATTAAATTTTATATTAAAATCTGCTACAAATACTCTGCTAAACAATTATTGTAAAATGAAAGTTGATGACCATAGTAATGAAAAGCAAAAGAAAAAATTAAAAGCTGCTACTGTAAAATAAAATAAAATAGGAAAATTAAAACTTTAACCTAACCTAATTAAAACTTTAAATTTAACCTAACCTAAACCTAATTAAAACTTTAACCTAACCTGTAGTAGACATCATAGCTATATATAATCCTTGTTATAAACCTTTATTTCAAAAAAATGCACATTCATCTATTTTTTATTTAATAATTTATTCTAGTGAAATAGTCCTTTTTTATTATTGATAATTATCTTGATTTATTATTGATTTAATTTAAATTATTTTCATATTTATTTTGCTAGTATATTTTAAATTAAGTTTATTTATTTTATCTTATTCATTTATGCAAAAAATATTTAAAATTTGTTTTTAACTAAATATATTTTCAAATTTACAAAGATTTATAACAAGGATTATCACTTTTAATGCTTTCGTAAAGTAGATTGTTTTCCTTCACCCCTTTTAAAAATAAATATTTAATTATTATTGTGAAATGTAAAATGATTGATAAGATGTCTGACATCAACACTTTTAAAAATAAATATTTAAACTTCATTTTTAATTCAATGAGGAAATTTTAAACTTCAATTTAATCTAAAATGTGTTTAAACTTTTAAAAATGCAATGTAAATAATAGTCTTTTTTTCTCCCTTCATAAACTTCTTGTTTACTTTCTAAACTTTATTTAGATTTCATTATCGGGAGATGTAATGCAACTACTTTACATTATATTTTGTGGTACATCTCATCAGAAACTGCAATTTTAGCAGGGTGCGTAGTATTTTTAAAAAGTTCTTAAAGGTGCTTATTTTCCATTTTCTTTTTTTAAAAGCCCTTAAAGGTGCTTTTTTCATTTGGTGTTCTTAAAAAGTGCTCTTTTTTAAAATGAGATTTTTCCTTTACCATGTTGATTTTCGCTACGAATTATGCAAAAAAAAAACTGTTCACATTGTTTTATACAACGTTTTCACAATTAATTCACCCCCAATCTATTTCGCCTTATTGTCAGTCCGTAGCATATGAAAAAGCCATTCATTTTACATGATTCAAAATTTCATGATTTTTGACAATTGTCAAAAACAATGCTGAAAGTTTTTTTTTTTGACATAACAGTTAAAACAAGATAAAACCGTCAATTGTCAAAAACTTTCCAACCCTGCCTAGTTATGATATTTTTTTTAAAGTGCTTAAAAATATAACTACAATTTTATTTTACTTGTATATAGTTTGTATTACTTGTATATAGTTCATATTACTTGTATATAGTTCGTATAATCTAATTTTTAAAATGGAATATCCCCCCCCCCAATTTAATGGTGTTACGAATATCTGTATTTGTTACAAAATCGCCAGCCACGGGTCATACTTTATTAAAATATAAAATGTTTTATCATGTTCTTTAAAAATTATGGCATTCTTTAAAAAAATTAAAGAAAAAACATCA